TGCCATTTTGAGTCTAATAAAATTCATCAAAATGTAACTGAATGTGAGAAAATTACCATAAAAATGCCGCGGCAACTTAGAGCTAACCCTATCCCTTCACTCTGTCACTTTAAAAATTGAATTTAAGCAAACGCTTAAAGATAATTGGTCAGCAATTATGCATCAGAATTTCGACTCATTATCAGCTTTGAACCTCTTGAAACACAAAAATTGTATTGTTTACCGTCCTCAAGTTATAATTGTTACCGAGAATAATATAATTGTTAAGTTACAGTCTTTTCTCTATAACGGGCATTGTTCATTTCTAGAACAATGTTACCTTCTTCCAACTAACAGTGGACAACATGTTTTTGAATTTGTTTGAATTATGATACCAGTAAACAGTAAAAAAGTTGTTAGATTATTGATTATTGCCTCTTTGATTTGGTTAAAAAATTCATATGAATCCATGTACTTTATAAGAAAATTCAATCATTAAAGTATGTCTTCTTTATCATTTGTTTTCTTTGACCCATTCAACACTGTGTGAGAACAGTTTCCAATCCTTGGCTACAGGAATTAATGCCTCATTTCAAGTAAGATCAGAGAATAATTGTTCTCGAAACAGTTTCCAAAAGAGAAACAAATACCTGAGTACTTCTCCTTTTTAAACAAACAGAAATATCCCAAACGAAAACAATCTGTTACAAAACAGAGAAACTTAAATTGACATTTTCATGTGATTTTTTTGCACAAACATTCGGAAAAAAGCATGTGCGGGTATTTTCCTGCACTCTTCTCAAACACTCTCCTCATAACATGCTCTAGCAGCCCACAGTTTCGTTGATGTAAGTCAAGCAACGGGAACACCCTGATACAGGAAAACTAAACCAATTTTAATTCTTTTTCGTTAATTAAATCTCTATAGCCTACCAAAATCTTGTTATTTTCAATCTTAAAGTCTTGTCACAATAATTGTTCGAAGAACACAAATTTTAATTACGAGACTTTTCCGTTGACAGGCAAAGTCTTTAATAATTAACACCCGTACGCGTTTTCTCGAATAACGCCCTCTAGTCATTGTTAATTTTCATATTTACGAAAGAAAATCAATGAAAATAGGTATAAATATCATTCAGTCGGGCTAAGTTTCATCAAAATGATTAGAAAGGCTCGAGAAATTAGATATTTATTAAATTTTTGGAAAGGGTATAGATAGTATAATTACGACCACTGATGGTAGTCTGAAAGACAAACAAGAGTTCTAATCGCATTATACAGAGCAACATGTCACTAAAATTTAGTTTTACTTTCGCGTAATCCAGTTAAACAAATTGTGATACTCATGCACGAGACAGTATATTGTCAATGTGATACGTAAGTCCCCTCTTCCTTATGCAGAAAACAGTCATAAAGAGTCCCGTCAGAAATTATTGGGAAATTGCAACTTTCGTACATATTTATTGTCAATCTCCTAACTTTTTACACATACATACTGAACAATACTTCCCCTTAAAAAGATATTAGACAAAGAAAGATGAGCGTAAAAGACAGAATGTCTGGAAATGCTGTTGATTTTGTACAGGAAATTATGGCAGTCTTGATTTTTCCACACCGATGTCAACTATTATACAATTAAACCGTGTTGATAAATTTTGTTCTTAGCTAAAATTAATGGAACAGCCGTTATTGAACAAAGTAACCAAATATTTATCAATTTAAAAAGAAAGCATTACTTAATCATAAGTAATATTCTCTGCAACTCTCTCAGCGGTTACTACTGAAATAATCACCATTTGTTAACATCTAATTATTCAGAAATGGCAAAAATAGTAAATTACTGAATTATTGCTATATTAACATGTCAGACTATCAAATGAATAATTTCATCACGATGCTAAAACTAATAATACTAACGCAGTAAAGTTCGTCTAGTCAATATCGGCTCGATTTACGAGACAGCCTCTTTTTACCATAAAACAGGTGTAACGTTGTTCCTAATTAGTAAATGTTGTTAAAACAAATGTAAGTTTATGATGTGTTTACCACGGCAACATTTGTAATTTTTGACAAATTGTAACACTCCTCATTGGCGACATAAATATCCATCACGCATATGACTGCGACTCAAATTCTGCCAACATCTCTCTTCAATTCGTTTATTGTTTATCTTATTCATAATTAAGTAAGGTGTTTCTCTAATTTCTCTGTCATATTTTGCCCTCAGAGCCTAGGAGTAACCTACCATTAACGTACACGCGTTTTTCATCGGGATCTGACCAAAGAATGGACATGTAAATTAAAATAGTTGGCAGTAAGACAATATCTATGACTCTCGTGTGTTTTATTAATTAGATTGTTTGTGTGTAATATGGATCAAATAAAGGACTATCCAGCAATATCGTGCATTATTATATTAATTTTATTAATTTCGTTAGCGTCTGCAGGCGATACTTTCTATCAATTATGTGATAAAAAGTGAAAACATATGGCCTACATTATATTACAGTAATCATATTTGGATATGTACTAGCTAATATTCAACTAATGCGAAACAGGAAAAGTAACAGACGGCCTTGCACTGTCTCAGTTTATTCCATAATTGGAATACAAAACTCATGTTAAAAAATACTAAACTTTCTCTGGTCGTAATTAATCAATTTTGTTATTTCTTCGGAGTGTCCTAACTGAGAGCAGCTGCTTGCTGTCACTAATATTTTTCTCTATAATGACATCTGTACCTATATGAAACAAGTGACTTCCTATGTATCAAAATCTGCACAACTGGTCACTCATTATAAGTGCTTCCCAAATATTACAGTCAATTACTTTATAATTACTATCATTTTCACACTGAAAGGCATCCACAAGCTGAAAGGCATCCACAAGCCCTAAATTACTTCTTTTATTTTGTGTCCACAGATAGACCTCACCCTTCTGAACCATACAAACCCAGATGAAGTTGAGGCCTTGTGATTAAGGTAGGTATCTGCCTCTCAACCCAGGGATCATGGGTTTGAGCCCTAACTCAGGTCGTGACCATGTTTTTTTCATATGACACCAGTACTGGTTAGGTTCAGAAAGCGGATTTGAAAGTGATTGATACAAGTTGGAAGAACTTGTTTCGCAGTAGAGCTTAAATCTAAACAAACCCAAAACAAAATCTCCTCTACAGTCCTGACTTCATTTCTAAAAACCATGTCAACTTATTTTTATATACACCCACAAAAACCTACCATTTAATCATAAATTATACAATCCTAAAAACCAACAACAAAATGCAGTTAAAAAATAGGTGGAAAACAGGTTACATGCCATGAAAATGACAGGACAATCCTTTGACTTTAATTAATTGAATTCATACTAACAGCCTTCAAAGTAAAAACCAGTTAAGAAGTGATAAAGGATCTAGAAAATCATATCTGGCAGCCATAAAATAAAAAATCTAAGCTCTATGTTGATGAATGATGGCTGATAAAGAAATTGTCAAAATTTCTGAAAAAATTGGGATAATTGGCCAACAAAAAATGTCAGCAGAATTTTGGAAACATATATTTCTCCGCAAAACTTTTATCCTAACAGTATATGATACAAAGTAAATCACTGAGTAACATGTGAAGAATTCTAAATATTTTTAAGCATTTTATTCATGGTATTAATCAATGAATACCAATAATTGCATAATTTATCACATACCTGTGCAACTAATGTGACTCCATAAAAAGGGAATTGCATGGCCGTGCATATACTATTATCTGCACAAACATAGCATAAGACCAGATAAATGTTAGCTTTATGCTTTAAGTATACACAGTTAAAAAGTACTTCTTTTACTTATTTTGGATATGTGATAAATAGAATATTACATTTGTGCCGCTTCATTACTAAATTTATTGAACTTGTTTAATGAAATAATATTACGCAAGTTGTTCTTGAACCTATACTCATTCAATATCCTCTTTATATAATAATTTAAAATCCAACATTTCGTAAGTAATGATTCAAGCCAAACATCTCAAATTTTAATTAATATACTAGTAGACTTGACAAATCTAGAGAGTGCATGAAACTTTCTCCAAACCAAATAAAACTTATCTTTACCAAGGGAGGTAATAAGAAGCACGATTATCATTAGTTTGTCTATCTTTCACAGACAAGATTATAAGTTAATAATAAAGAATTATCATTTTGGTAAAATATATACCATTCACAAGCCAGCAAGATCTATCATATCGCAGGCCAGTCACAACAAATATATCTTCTTAGATATATCATCTATAACCAATCGTTACATCTTCTCACACTCTCAATTATCCCTCACAAAATATTTTTATAAGACGCATAATTATGCATTCATAAGACATAAAATAATGCAAGCTGTACCATACCATAGATTAATCATTGACAGCCTTGACAGTATGCACCTAGGTACAGAGCATTCAAAAAATAGTTCTCTTGCAAAAAACCAACAGCTTAGAATTGATAGAGCAAATATTTCTTTCCCCTCGCAAATTTTTGACGCCACCATGCTATCAGTAAGGTACTCAATTCCATTTGAAATCAGTTGGGTATGTATCAAACAAATAATTAATTAAATATATATAATACTGAACAAAATTGTATAAAAGATAGAGAAAATAAATTCTTTTTTCGAAGATTGACTTCATATGAAAATTATACAAGATTTTAAAAGCTGATAAGGCAACAAAACAAGGAAACCAGTCCACTATTTCACTTTTATCATTGGACAATTTAGCATGTCCTGTTTCATATTTTACCAATCAAATAATTGAGATTTCAAACTTTGAATTAAGACTGGTTTATTATTTAATTGATCATTATTTAATGTAAGAATAGTGATTCAATATTTAATAACAGGAGTATAGTGATTCTATATCTAGTAACCGGATTTTACTGGTTCTATATTTAGTAACTGTAGTAAAGTGATTCTATATTTAGTAACCGGACTGTAGTGATTCTATATTTAGTAACCAGACTGTAGTGATTCTATATTTAGTTACCTGTATGGGAACGAACATGTATCTGTAGAGCACTGTCACTTCCAAACACTTTACCACACAGTCGGCACTTGTGCTTGAAGAAAGGGTCATCGCCGCCAAGGTAAGACCTTCCTTCGCTGCTCTCTGAAAATATATAAATATATATATAATATATATATATATCACTATATCTTTATGACAAGGAAAATGATTATCATATTTTTAAAATAAACTTATTAAATTGTGTAATCATAAATGCAAATAAACTAAACATGCAAATTTGTATATTGTCAAATTTAACTTGAAACATCAAAGTCCATAAAACAATTCGGCCAAAAGAAATGAAAGAAATTAAAGCAAACATTCTCTAGTGATAATAAACAAATGGTTTTAAATTCTCTGCCAAACCAAAAAACCCTGTCTAACAACAAATCTGTTAAGGAGGACTAATGATTATGTTTTTACAAGAAATTTCTACAAGAACAATGTTGCCGCGGCAACATTTCCCACAGATATTACTAGAAGACACGGAGAACATATTATTTACAATAAATGATATATACAATAGGTTATGAATGTTTCTTTTTTCAGCCGTTTAAGAACAACTGTCAAGAAAATGACATGTGTAAAAGCTACCAATTAACTATATAAATATATGAACAGTGGCTGATACAGGGTGGGATGTTTATAGAGTTGGTGATAAGAATATAATTACAAATCTTACTGCTCGTAATCCACGCCTGCATATTATCATGTTGATATGACAGCCTTTTGTTTATATACTCTTAGCAATAAAATATTAATTAATACATCTTTTTTTTCCCTTTCCTAAGACAAATTGGCAGAGACTTAACTTGTGCGAGAGTTTATTATTTGAGTCAGATTTTTGCATGAAACATGCGCGTAAATGTTTAGTCTATACGACTTAAAGTCTTAAGAGTTTTTCAGTAATTTCCGATTTGTAATGTAAGTTGTAAATAGATTTTTCTTTTTCAATAGAAATGTAAAGAGACTGAAAAATGGGGTATAAAACAATTAATTTATGTAGGAGTAAGTGGTGGACTCTGTTTGCCAATTCAATGTAACAAAAAATATAATTTATTTATTTTACACCAACAATGTATATACATGTATATTTGCAATGTCTTAATAGATCTGTAATGGTAACGTTCTTGGTGTTTTGCATAAAAATAGATAAAGTACACTTTAATGAATGGTCATCATGAATCACTGATTTGTTTTATTTATGCAATTTTTTTATTTAACAAAATATATCAAAATTCAATAAACAGTTTTGATTGGCTAGGAGGGATAAGCAATTTTTCTACCTTCTGAAAAAGGAGAGTATTTCTGGAGAGAAAAAAAAAGAATGGCCAGCTGCAAATATTCTGTTTCATTATCACTTTGATCTCGAGTAATCTTTTATAATAATAGCTATTTTCGCCATAGAAAAAATGAAAATGATAATAAAGACAAATCTTGTTATCATAAGTACGCCTGTTCCTCATTTGTTATATTTGCAGAAACTTTCAATTAGAAAAATAATCATCAGACGGTTGTTATGAATCATATGATTAAAATCTTGGAATGCCGATTTTGTCGAGAAAACAAAAAATAATTTCCTGCCTCTTTTCGACACACAGAAAACATATGTTGCAAAAGTCATAAATAATCTGTCAATTAAAATAGTCATACAAATAAATTTTTCGCCCTCGTTTCTTTTTCGTTTTTTTTGGCTAGCAAAAGCGTTTGAATTAATAAGTTTTTGGATTCCTTCGTAATAAATCGGCTATAGTACCTGCCAGGTAATTAGAATTATAAATGATCTACATCAGTATTAAATCTGACATGTTCGAGATGATAAAATAGTGCAATGTAGGCAATTACCAAAAACCTGTCATCCACAAGACTATCAAACTCATCTTCAATATTTCTATAGAACCATCATAACTGATAAGCCTCTAGTGAAAAAACCCACTCACATACATAACACCAAACATTAAAGCTAATCCAATGCCGGAGTTTTCCCTTTCTGATCATTATCTGGCTTGTTATTTGGTTTCAGTCTCACAATAAGAAAGTTTACTCCTTCAACGAACCATACAAAAAAAAAAATCTAGAAATATTATAAAATATTTGAAAAAAAAATTTGCAAAATGAAAAAACAAAATGAATAAGAATCATGAGTTGATAGCACTGCATTATTACTCAAACAGGTTTTGATTATGCCTATTCTTTAACATAATTATTATATATACACCATGTGCAGACCCACTAAAGACCAATTTCTAAACAGAATATTCCTGATTTCTGTTAAGTTTTATGTGCTCAGGTTCCTAATAAAGCTTTCCTTTTTCTGTTTTTTTTGCCAAAAGATTAATTAAATATTTGTTTTCAAATGAAAAGTCACACCATTGATTATGGTGGTATACCAGTATTTTGCTAAAACTTTCTTTTTTTTTAACAGCTGTAAATTTCCCTGCTCTATAGTTGTAATCTGTGCATTGTGTAATAAATGAAATACAAAAAAAATAAAGAAAAAAAACCCTGAAAAAAAATATGTGCACCCATCTGTTCTTAAAAACACACTTTTTTGATTTTTTTTTTCTCCCTATGCATACAGTTCTGAAAGTAAAGCACACAGAGAAAGAAAAATATATCAATCAAAATCCATGTTTATATAAAGCATCATAATTTATTGCAAGAACATTTGGCAGGATGAAATTCATACTTTGTTAATCAAAAATAAGAAGGCGGATGTTTACTTTTCGTTTCTTTTGTGCCGTTCCTTCACAAGGAAATATATTAGTGAGTTATTCATAAATTTATGGTTAGATAAGCAATATAAAGATTACAGGATATGGCTTGAAAGAACATAATATTTCATGCTTTACAAAACCTACCAGTAGTTTGATAGAATTAATCTTTAAACCTCCCGAGTTAATGCCTGCCATGAAAACAAGGCTTCTTGCTGTATCTTTTGATGATACTACAATCTTTGAATGCCTTTGCAACATGATTTTTGAAAAAAATTCAGCTAATCAAAGACTTCTTGCAAAGGTCAAACTTCAAGGAAAAGGAGCAACGTTTTTTGCTGGCAAACAAACTCTACAATATCAAGTTATAGTAATTATTTCCATTTAATTCATAGTAACTTCTCTCTTGTAATGTAAGGAAAAAAACTTGACTCAGTCACCATGTCGCAATATACATGTATATCATATTTTATATTGAAATACTCAACTTTGCTTTTAGCAGAACAAAAATTAAAAAAACAACTAACTAACATGTATTTTAATATGTGAAGACTGTCTACAAAACAATTCCTTCATGTGACCAGCTGTTAATCAGACTTTTAGTAGTATAATAATATTTGAGACATTTTTTTTTTTGTTTTTTTTTTGGAAATTCCCATTGTCATATGATTTTTTTTTCTGACCTTTTACGCATTACTTTTCTTTAGAAAGCCAATGTTTCATGCTTGACCAAGTGTAATGCTGCCTACAGTAACAGTCTAAGCTGTAAATGGAAGGAGAGCCAATTTTGACGTAAAGATCTGCCGCGGGGCAGTCAACATGAATAATATAACAATTCCATTTCCTATATCAAACATTGATTTCATAAATCGGATGAAAAATGTCGACAAAAAGATGGCACAAACCAATCAAATATTCCCTTCAAGTGTTGCTGGGGGTTTTTAACACTCATAATTGTTCCATTTCAAGAGGTTACTTGTTTATTCGGGTTGTGGAAAGAAGATGAATATTGACAGGGGTGAAATACAGTATGTTATTACTTGTCACTCTATGTCAAAACAAGGCTATATTTCTATATTGATGGAATGGCAAAATGCTCGTCATCACTTTTAATATTGTCAATGTGAAGTTTAGGGGACAATCAAAACGTTCTAACAAATTCATATACTTCGGCTATGATGGGACACTGTTTCAATATTCATTTTAAAATTTCATTGAAACATGGTATTTTAAGGACATTGAGCAGTTTTTCATACAACTTTGATCATCATCAGGGAAATATTTAGGTAATTTTGCCTTTTCCTTATGCTACTTGGACATTCATATAACAAAAGCAAAATCAAATTACCTCCCTTTATTTGTTTCTTCAGTATTGCTTACAAACTTGACAGATTGTCTCCCTTTACACGTAGATATTGGACACAGAAATTACTGTGTGTGATTAACAATCTAAAACATAACATGGCGATACAGCATTCCTTCGTATCACAATGTCTGGGATATATTTGGAATTTAAATCCTCATAAAATGATCTACAAGTGTGTTTTAAGATTAGGAAGAAAGAAAGGAAGATTTTATACTTTTTGATAACTACTTATGATTAACTGTCACTTATTTGATATCAAACGTAACTTTGAAGTTTGGTATTTCTGATGTAAAATAATACATTATAATCTCTAAAATTATTTCCAACCTTTCTACAACAAACTGATAACAAATTTTTTTTCCCTACCAATTTTTTTTTTGCAGGACTCGTTTTGTGTAACGAAGGGCATATGTTAGTGATATTCTGTAGCAGAAGACAAATTTCAAATACAGCAGGCTTGCCAAAATTATAATATTTGTGTTTCAAATCCTCCAAAAACCTTGTCACTTTACAATATTTGTTATTAAAATGACAAACGCAGTTAGAAAATATTAAAGAGAGATATCTAGGCTTAATTATGCCACCTATAACAAATCTATTCACAGCGAGACCCTATGTTAAATATTTACTTAGTGGAAAAGAGGTGGCAAAATCAACACGACGAGCATAAAATATATAATCTTTAATAAATGCATTAAAAAGATACAATTTTCTAAAATATCAATATTTACATTTCATGTTCACTTTTGTGAAGATTTCCCTATACTTTGATATCCCTTAACTCTCGATCACATCGTTTTCAATTTGCATTAATTGGCTTATCGCAGAACTACGCTATCTGCTGCTTTATTTGTATACACAGTTACAATACTCTAGCACTTAAGTAATTGGCATTTTAACATTGACAGTTACAAAACTTCATTATTGGAAAAGTGAAAATAAATTCATTGTTTGCCATATACATTAGAGAAGAAAATTGCAGATTGGATAATTTGACAAATAAACGGAAATAAAATTATCAT